GCGTTATGCAAATCTTCCCACACAGTGACGTAGACATGTGGGGGCGTGTTTTAGGAGGGCGTGGACGAGAACTAACTTTTAAATAGAATATCTCTTTGGGTTTGAGACTTTAGTCTTTGCAACTTTAGGGATCTTATCTATTCACTAACAGCTTGTAACACTCCAAAGAGAAAGGCAAACTTGAAATCGCATCATATGACCCCTTTAATCAAATAAATGCCGCCTTGGTGAGTATAAGAGACCTTTCAGAAACTTACTGACCCCAAACTTTTTAACAGTAGTGAATATGCAAATTGTGATGTAGTCAGTGTATAATCAGAAGTAGTAATGGTTATGAAGCATCTCAGTGAACGTGTCACAAAGATCAGCGCACATCATCAGAAACACATTTAGGATCAGCAGTCTTTGATCTGAGTAATTATTAAGAAATGATCAACTGCTCATATTTGACTATTATTTATTATAATCATATGAAGTATGAAATAATTGTCTGTGGTTTACTGTATGTGGTGTTGTTGTGGATTCTTCAGGTAGTGCCTTGTTGAGTGGGATATTGTTGGCCTTGGCTACATATCAGTCCATCTATCCTCTGACCTTATTTGCTCCTGCACTCCTATTCTTCCTGCAGGTGAGAGTCTGAACTCAGACTAATGCAGATACATTGCTCTGATGGCCAAAATGAAACATCTCTCTCTCTCGGTCTCTTTCAGAGGTTATATATCCCAGTGAACCTGAGGAGGAGTAGTTTCTGGTGCTTCACTCTTCAGTATGCGTTCATATATGTGGGCAGTCTGGTGGTGATCACTGGACTCTCTTTCTTCCTCCTGGGCTCCTGGGACTTCATCCCTTCTGTCTATGGATTCATGTCAGTCAGCAGTCATACGCCACACGCTTTATTTGCAAATACATATTTATTATTCAAATATTTACTGTGTGTGTATTCCACAGATTTTCTGTTCCAGACCTGACTCCAAACATCGGACTCTTCTGGTACTTCTTTGCAGAGATGTTTGAGCATTTCCGTCTCTTCTTCATCTGCGTCTTCCAGATCAATGTCTTTTTTTACACCATCCCGCTCTCCATCAAACTCAAGTAGGTCCTGCATATACCTGAACATGAGCAGTGCGTTCATTTAGCATGTATAGCACTCTCATGGGTAAACAATTCAATCAAACAGGGAGCATCCAGTGTTCCTCATCTTCATGCAGATTGCCATCATCTCCATCTTTAAGTCGTACCCTACTGTGGGAGATGTCGCCCTCTACATGGCATTTTTGCCAGCCTGGAGTCACCTTTACCGATGTGAGTAGCTGTTTTCATTTAAACATGTTGACAGATTTGCTACTGAAGCGGGAAAATGGAGTAGGGCATATCAAAGGGCATGTCCTTTTTTTTGAACCATGAACCAGTTGCTACTTGCTATTGCTAGTCAGTGACAGGTGGTAAAAGTAAAGTGACATTATCATTCTAGAGAGCATTTTATAGGAAAATGAGTATTTATTCTTTCCTTTTTTCCATTTTCTTTGAAAAGAATTTTACAATTTTAAAAGTTTATTTTATCACCATCATATAAGCTAGGGTTGGACACGTGCACAAAAAGCCACAGAAACTCAATTTTGATTTTAGTCATATCAAAGTGCTTATAATTAATAGCTTTTATGAATTTGTTCCCTATTAATGCATTATATATTGATATACACTGCCATTCAAAAGCTTGGGTTCAGGAAGAAATAGTTTTAAAGAAATTAATATTTTTATTTAGCAAGGACACATTAAATAAATTAAAAGTGACAGTAAAACATTTTTAATGTTGCTAAAGTTTTATATTTCAAATAAATGTTGTTGTCTTGAACTTTCAATTTCAAAAAAATTGTATCACACTTTCTACAAAAATATTAAGCAGATAAGGTGTAATAATATTTCACAAAGTTTCTTATACTGTATTTTGATCAGTTAAATGCAGCCTTGGTGAGCATAAGAGAGTTCTTCCAAAAACATTTAAAAAATCTCACTGACCTCCAAACTTTTGAAGAGTTGTGTAAATTGAGCAAAATATAATTTCATGTCTTTTGTGTGGGTTTTTCTCTGTGACTTAATCAAATGTGGAGTGTATTCCGTGCTGTTCAATATATTAAGCACCTTTACAAATAATATGTGTACTATTTTCAGATTTCATAGGAAAATCAAAATTGAACATGGTAAAATACGATAAAAAGGGGCATTGCACTTGTATTGGCAGCCGAAAGCATGGTTGTATTTGCAGAATATTAAATAGACACAAATGCAAGGAGTTGGGCTTCTGTAGAACTTTGTGAATGACTGCTATTCAAATTCTGTGGAAATATGTAGACTAAAGCATCCAATGCAGATTCCGTGCAAGCCTGCATAGATACGCACTCAGTTTGTATTTGTGCAACTGGATAAATCTGCTAGCAAGCTTTTTACTGAAATCAGCTGCAAGTATTGAACTTTAGAAATGCATTTTTTTTTAGAAATGAGTTTTCTTTATTTCTTTCTCTTTATTTCAGTTTTGAGGAACATCTTTCTGGTGTCGTGCGTGCTGTTGGCATGCTCCGCTCTCTTTCCTGTGCTCTGGCATCTGTGGATATACGCTGGCAGTGCCAACTCTAATTTCTACTATGCCATCACATTGCTCTTCAACTTCGGACAGGTAAAGGGTCCCATCTTGATAAGCCATTTCAACTAAACACAATTGGAAATACAGCTGCCATGTTGTCTGTTTGTTTTGCTCAGAAGTCTTTAAGTTAAACAAAAAAGTTTTCTTATAGCTCTTAGCCTCAAGGTAGAGTTAGATTCTATTCATTATACCATGACAGAAGCTGTCATGCCAGGTATTTCCTGTACTCATGGAGGTAGTACACAAAACCTGGTGTCAGGTTGCAAGAAAGATGACAGAAAGAAAGGCTATTGAACAACTAGTAAAATAAAGGTCAATGCAAAGATAGCAGCGGTTATCCGCTCCTAGCTTTTGGTGTTTGACAGGCTCAGCTACGATAGTGTTTACAACTACTTGGCTGACAAATTGTGGGTGGAAAAATCGATGTAGGAACAAGGTTTCATTATGCATTAACTTGTATTAGTTTCAGCTAAACAGTCCCGTATTGGGTTAACCAAGACAGCTGGCACACCCCACATTACCCGTAAGGCACGTGCACCTCGCATTTGCTTGGAACAAATCCCATCTTTTTGTAGATATTAGAAGTCTGGGATTTGTCAGTTGGATCTCAGAACGAAAGTTCATTTAGTGAGCACTGTGAAAATTCACAGTAAAGTTTACAGATTACATGAACTAATGTCATGTGTGTTTACACCACCACAGATCCTCCTGGTATCAGATTATTTCTACGCCTACCTGCGTCGAGAACATCACCTGACACACGGCCTCTATCTAAAGAAGAAAGATGGCACTGAAGCCACTCTAGTGTTAAAGTGACCTTCTTTCGTAGAACTTAGAGATCTCACCGACTGCCTCACACCCCCATATCTTTGCTTTTTTAATTTTCCATTCACACTACATTCTTTTTTTCTCCAGTTTTTTTTCTCTCTCACCTCAATTTGCCTCTCCTTGCTTTTTTCCCCATTACTTTCTTTTGCACATTTGAGCATTTTACCTCATGTTTGAATGTTGACACCACCTCTTGGACCAAAGCTGTTTTGTACGAGACTTTTTGATAATGGGGGCCGAATGAAGGTATCTGAGTGATACAGAACTTTACTATTTCGGCTCCCATGAGATGGGTACAAAGTTATTTTCACTTTTGATTTGCTTGTCTTTCATTGTTTCGAAAGATTTGCTTTCTTTATTAAACTCCATTCAAAAAGTTGAGGTTGTTTGGCTGGACTTGTAGTTTGAAGTCGTGGTCAGCAGAGGGCATAACATGAATGTGGAGACTTCAGAGGGCCAAAACTGTAGAATCCGATATGAAGAGGCGGTTATGTTCAAATGTTCTCTGAATGCTTTTCTTGGTTCTTGTTTTTTTAACCTCTTAATAATGCAAGAGGAATTAAGACTTGCTTAAATACTCAGATTTGGTACTTTTTGTACAACAATTTTGTTTGTTTGTTTTATGTTCTTACAAAATGAGGGATTAAACTGCACTGCAATTTTATTTATTTTTAAATGGGCCCTGGTTCGAATTGGGTTTATTGTTCTGTTTTATGATTCCTTTGGGATTAGGAATTAGCCGCCTGGATTTACTTTGATCCGTGCTTTTGATCTAACACCAGGGCACGTGAACCTATCGATTGCACACCTGTATAACCCCTCCCTCTTGTGGTTAGACCTTCCTTTTAGTTCTTAGATGGTGGAATTTTCCATTGCCTGTATCGTTTTCAGACATTTCTAATAATCCGCCCTTTGACCAGAAGACGCAAACATCCGGGTGGCTTTGATAATGAGGTCAGCTGTTTCAAATCTAGTGTGTGGAAGTCATCTCTAAAGTCATAAAGATGTAGATGCTGAAGGTTTACAAATATATGCTTGCCATTTTATTTCCACATGCACTGACATACCTTATCGTACCTTATGTTGACCTTAAATGACATAACGCAAATGGATTTCCTAAAACGACTAAATTAATTAGTTGTTAAATGTTTAACTAACAATGAAAGTATTTTATATCATGCTGTATATTAACCAAGAAACTGTTAGCAGGAAGATTTTAAAAAATCATTCTTAATTCTTTTTTTTTTTGTCCTGATATTGAGTAAAAACAAGCAAAATTAAGATAAGACTCGTTTTCACAGAATACATTTTCAGTTTGCTTCTCTTCCCACATTGGCAATTTTTTTTTTTTTATGCTTAAAACAAAAACAAACATCAGTAATGTAAGAAAGAAAAAAAATGTTTTATATCTTGTACAATTTTAAAGTAAATTTATTTTGTTTTGACACTAAGATATTGTTACTGGACAACAAGACAGAAAGACGGATTCAGACAACTTTTTGGGGAGTATAATACACAGCATTTTGACTGAAACTACTGACTGCAGTTGTTGTACTAGCCAGTACCATTTTCTTTCTTTCAGTCCTCATGGGAATTATTTATTGTGTTGTTTTGAATTCATTTTTCTACTCCATTTTACTTTGGATGAACAACAGACTAAAGTTCATAAATGTGCTTTTTGGTACCAAGTTAAAAACATTTGAATGGCCAGCGAAATGTGAACATGTCTGTGGTTGGCACGATTAAGGGCTTCTCTCCTGCTCGCATCGGAGATGTACACTGAAGTATTACACATTACGTGACCTCCATTTCACATTACTCATGGTTCCCCTTTCAGCCTGAAAGGAACGTTTGGGCCATTTTGGATGTCACAACACTGATTTGTAAATGATGTGGTGATTAAAATGCCAATAAAGATAATTTCTCAGTTGTGTTGTTTTGTTAAACCACATTGGTTCTTGATTTAAGAGATTTTATCAAAACTTATAAAAGATCCACCCATTATGCTCAGTTATTTGGGTGTACAACAGCAGTCTTATGGTCTGGTTTCTTTAAGGAAAAAGTGCCATTTAAATTAAGCCTGTCATGGGTTTTTATGTAGAAACAAGAAGTATAATCTCATGTCAGCAAGTATTGTGTATCCCAGTTCAAGTACGTATTGCTGAAATCATGACTTGATGAGTGAACTAATGAATAGACTTAGTAAAGTTTGAAGTTTTCTATCTATTCTATAGATGCTATAGGCTTGGCAAACGCATTTTGTAGTTATGAAATACCTTTAAACACTGTCAAAATGTTGTCACAGACTTTCATGTCAATGAGAGCTTTATAGGTCTCGCTGACAGACGACACTGAAACAAACAAAAAAGTTGAAAATTGAGCATTTATGCCGCACCTGCTTTAGTTTGCCAAATACTTTAAGCTGTCTAGAGTGAAATGAAGAGATTTAGCATTATTCCCACTAATTACACAAACTCAACCTATCTGCATTGTGAAATTCATGTTTTGTGTAGAGTTCATTTTAACACAATTTTTATTTATTTTTTTCCCCCACACAATTTACATTTCTACTTTGAAACACATAAGCTATTAAAAAGACTGTACAGACTTGCTTCTTGGCATTTGCCACAAATTACATTACAATCATTTTTTGTAAGTCATTACTGGGAGACGTCATCACGCCAGGTGAAAGTCAGAATGACTCTGCATAAATCATGTTATTAAAAAATTTATTGTATTGGTGTCCTTTCACCTCTTTCAGTGGATTAAATTATTACTTAACCACAGGTTGTTAAGTTTCATCATATTTATCTTGAGATGTTTGTTTTTAGATCATTTATATTTGAATATTGATCTTCAGCTATAAAATAAATGGTCAAATTATCAGTAATAAATCATAGTTTGAGTTTATATTTGATAGCTTTCGTTGACATTTTAGTAATTGACATTCCCTGAGAATCCAAATAGGTAATATTTTACAACAAGGTTGTTAATGTTAACATCAGTTAACAATAGTTTAAATGAACTAAAACTGAGAAGTACTTCTACAACATTTAATAATCTTGGTCAATGTTCATTTCTACATATAATACAAAATGTTTTAAGATTTCAAGTTAATATACTATGAATCATATGTATACGTTAACACTACCCAAGCTGTAAAAAGTTATTGTTTGCTGTTAGTTCATGATACGTATGCTAACAAATGTTAACATAGAAAAAAATATACGTAAACAAACCCAAGTTTGCCTAACACTGCAATTGCTTTTCATTCTCATGGCTTCTGTGCAGATTGCCTAAATAATGTTGCATAAGCATTTACATAACTTCTGAGCTACCATGACAACTGCATGGGACCTGGTGAATCAGATTTTCATGTTACCATTCTTTCGCTCTTGAGCTGATGAAGCGATGCTTTGTAATAACACAGACTTGGTTCTCTTTGTGATTGCCGTTGACTCTTGGATAGACTAAAGAGAAATGCTTTCGGAAGCCTTTTGAAAAGGGCCCCTCATTCTGTCTAACTGGAAACTTGTTGAGTCATACGCTGACTAGCCAGCAGAATGCAAGAGGCTACTGAAGTAGAGCGTAAAGGACTAAAATGAAACATTTGGTCTACAACAAAATGCTTGTATTAAACCCACTAATTACAGTCACAACTTTTATCAACACCTCAGTCAACGTTGTGATGATATTTAGACAAGGTTCCATGATAATTCTTTGTTTTTCTTTTCTTACACGTACCATTTTAGAAACATTGGAATGGTAATCTTTGTAATTCTGTAGTATTTTTTTTAAATGCCTCTGAGTATTGTGTAAATGTTGTGGTGTATGAATATGGTACCATGTTATATATCAAAATACCATGGTATTGCCACAGAATACTGTATTTATCCTTCATCTGAACTGTATGAACAATATAAACTTAAATGTGGACCGTTTTATCTCCCGAGAGAATTTTCTGTTGGGTATATCTGTGCTGCGTACATCCCCCCAGACGCTAATGCTAAACTGGCTCTAGCACAGCTACACGACAGCATTAATAACAGCCTGGCTGCACACCCTGACAGTGTCTTTATAGCGGGGGATTTTAATCATGCTGACTTAAAGACTGTATTTCACAAATTCCACCATAATGTGAACTGTGCAACCAGAGGAGATAAAACACTGGACCAGGTGTATACCAATGTGACTAATGCTTAAGTCCAGGCATATCCTCATCTGGGTTTGAGTGATCATATCTGACTCATGCTCCATCCCCAGTATACACCCATTATTAAGACTGCTAGGCCCATGGTGAAGCCAGTTAGAATATGGCCTAAAAATGCTATCCCTGAGCTACGGGACTGCTTCCACTACAGACTGGGATGTTTTCAGAGACCGGGAATTACTAACACGCCAGGCCCTTGATGAGTACACCACCACAGTTATGGATTATATCAATTTCTGTGTAGATAGGGTTACATCCTGGAAGCTGATCCATGTCTTTCCTAACCAAAAAACCATAGATGACACATGAGGTTCGGCTGCTGATTAAAGCCAGGGAGCAGCCTATAGGTCTGGGCTCAGAGGGGCTTACAGCACAGCCATGAGTGCTCTCAGAAGGGGCATCAAGTCTGCCAAACTGGATTATAAAAGGCGGATTGAAGCCCACTTTAGCACCTCAACAAACTCCCGGCAGGTGTGGGAGGGAATTAGGGTCGGACTACAAGGGAACAACATCTGCCTCTGTGAGTAGTGCTTCCACTCTAGCAGAGGAACTAAACCTGTTTTATGTCCATTTTGATAGGGAGAACAAGGACACTGTGTTGCCCCATCTGCCCTCCAACGACAACACTGCACCAGTCCTGAGCGTTCATGAAGTTAGACTCTGCCTGGGAAACATCAACCCCAGGAAGGCATCCGGTCCAGATGGAGTGCTGGGCCAGGTGCTAAAGGACTGTGCGGCCGAGCTGGCAGAGGTCTTCTCTTCACCACCATCTTCAACCTGTCGCTGTCCAAGTCATAGGTCCCAGCATGATTCAAAGCAGCCATAATCATTCCTGTCTACAAACAAACCAATGTCACATGCCTGAATGACTTCAGGCCTGTAGGCCTGTGACACTCACACCTATCCCTGCCAAGTGCCTGGAGCGGCTGGTCATGAAACACATAAAAAAGGCCCTACCACCTGCTTTTGACCAGTATCAGTTTGCATACCACATTTGAACCACATTTTTGAGGCTATTCAACAGAAAAGAGGCAATGCCTTTTGATATAATATTTCGTTTCACTGTAATGTATGTACGTTCCTTGAACTACATTTTTGCGACTAATAATATGTTTAAATGAAAACAAAAAGAGGCAGTGGTGTTTGATATCATATTTCGTCGTATTGTAAATGCATACAGTGTAGATAACCGGAGTAGCCAAGGCGAGCTGACTGACGTTATCAGGTAGCCTACACTGCTGTCCCATTTGCAGAATTACCGGACTTGTGTCCTCCCGTCCTCTTGCGAAGTCCGAACTACCGAGGGCGCAGGTCCTAACCATAGACTCCTAACTTTGCGTACTTGGTATTGAGAAACGGTCAGCGAATGGAAAACTACAAGCTAGAACCATAGACACGCTCTTGCGTCACCCTTCACCCAACCAATCATAATGCTAAGCGTCACGTCTTCGCTCGATGATTGGCTCGAATGGGCGGACGCTGAAGAAGAATTATAAAACCCATTAGCGCACGAGTATCTTAACAGTGCGGCATCTCTCAATATCTCATTACAGCAACACAGAAGCAGGCGAGCTGACTGACGTTATCAGGTAGCCTACACTGCTGTCCCATTTGCAGAATTACCGGACTTGTGTCCTCCCGTCCTCTTGCGAAGTCCGAACTACCGAGGGCGCAGGTCCTAACCATAGACTCCTAACTTTGCGTACTTGGTATTGAGAAACGGTCAGCGAATGGAAAACTACAAGCTAGAACCATAGACACGCTCTTGCGTCACCCTTCACCCAACCAATCATAATGCTAAGCGTCACGTCTTCGCTCGATGATTGGCTCGAATGGGCGGACGCTGAAGAAGAATTATAAAACCCATTAGCGCACGAGTATCTTAACAGTGCGGCATCTCTCATTACAGCAACACAGAAGCACAACGGGAGAAAGCTGCGTGAGTATTTTACCTTTCCATTTAAATATCAACGCAGCCGCTCTGCTTGTATATTCAAGAATTGCTGTCTTATGTCAAACTGCGAGTTATTCGGATCTCGGAAATTTGCATTACATGTAACGTTACGTGCTTTTTCTACATTAGAGTCGTGATGATTTACGCTCATCACTCCAATGTGAGTTACATTAGAAGATTTGACATCATTTTCAATCGTGGTTTGATGAATTGCGTCACATTTTGCACTCATCTCATCTCTTGGGTCATTTTAACTCATCTTTGTTCTTGTTTCCTTAATTTGGTGTTGCGTCGTAATGTGTCCGTCGGATATGGAAATGGTCTCGTGGGCATGTCTGGGCACAAGACTGAAATACAAGCATCAGCGCAGGTCCTAACCATAGACTCCTAACTTTGCGTACTTGGTATTGAGAAACGGTCAGCGAATGGAAAACTACAAGCTAGAACCATAGACACGCTCTTGCGTCACCCTTCACCCAACCAATCATAATGCTAAGCGTCACGTCTTCGCTCGATGATTGGCTCGAATGGGCGGACGCTGAAGAAGAATTATAAAACCCATTAGCGCACGAGTATCTTAACAGTGCGGCATCTCTCATTACAGCAACACAGAAGCACAACGGGAGAAAGCTGCGTGAGTATTTTACCTTTCCATTTAAAAATTCAACGCAGCCTCTCTGCATGTATATTCAAGAATTGCTGTCTTACGTCAAACTGGAGTTATTCGGATCTCGGAAATTTGCATTACATGTAACGTTACGTGCTTTTTCTACATTAGAGTCGTGATGATTTACGCTCATCACTCCAATGTGAGTTACATTAGAAGATTTGACATCATTTTCAATCGTGGTTTGATGAATTGCGTCACATTTTGCACTCATCTCATCTCTTGGGTCATTTTAACTCATCTTCGTTCTTGTTTCCTTAATTTGGTGTTGCATCGTAATGTACAGAAAAGAGGCAATGCCTTTTGATATAATATTTCGTTTCACTGTAATGTATGTACGTTCCTTGAACTACATTTTTGCGACTAATAATATGTTTAAATGAAAACAAAAAGAGGCAGTGGTGTTTGATATCATATTTCGTCGTATTGTAAATGCATACAGTGTAGATAACCGGAGTAGCCAAGGCGAGCTGACTGACGTTATCAGGTAGCCTACACTGCTGTCCCATTTGCAGAATTACCGGACTTGTGTCCTCCCGTCCTCTTGCGAAGTCCGAACTACCGAGGGCGCAGGTCCTAACCATAGACTCCTAACTTTGCGTACTTGGTATTGAGAAACGGTCAGCGAATGGAAAACTACAAGCTAGAACCATAGACACGCTCTTGCGTCACCCTTCACCCAACCAATCATAATGCTAAGCGTCACGTCTTCGCTCGATGATTGGCTCGAATGGGCGGACGCTGAAGAAGAATTATAAAACCCATTAGCGCACGAGTATCTTGGGGCTGTAACAGTGCGGCATCTCTCATTACAGCAACACAGAAGCACAACGGGAGAAAGCTGCGTGAGTATTTTACCTTTCCATTTAAAATATCAACGCAGCCGCTCTGCATGTATATTCAAGAATTGCTGTCTTACGTCAAACTGTAAACCTACCCTTACAGTAGGATAAATACAGTGTTGGTAGCATAATCTGATAGGTAGCATTATTTGTCACAACACCGGCAACCTACTTGTCAATCAAAAATTATTCACAGTTTGCGAGGCAGTGGGGGGAAACGTCTCAAGTGTCTTAAATGAGCAGTCCCACAATTTTAGCTTTCTAGTTCGCACGTTGGTAACGGCGGTCACACTTTAAATCTACGCACTTATGGTTTTTAAACGTTGAACTTTAATGACTTGTGTCCTTTTACCTTTTTTTTTTTTTCTGCATCTTTATAAACTGTCCAGAACATAAATAACTCTGGCACACACGCCCCCTGGACTCCATTCAAGAAAACGGAAAAAAGTCTGTGAAATCAGCTATGTGCATTACACCTTGTATATATTTAAGTGAAATCACCAGCAGAGCTTTATATTTAAGTGTATTTGTGTATTAATAAGTGTACTAGACATCTGGCACGTCGTGCGGTCGCAATTCAGAATGACTCGACGATTTCGACCCTGGCGCGAACAGCTTTAAACAGGCGCTGTCACTTTAAGAAATTCTGCGCACTCATGGTTACATTGAATTTCTGTTATGTAACAATACATCGGTTGATTCATAAGAAGTGCCAGCTGAAGCTTATAGTTTGCCTTACTATAATGCAGATTATATAGGGTTATCTAATACAAGAGGACAATGTTAGTCACCATTACTAGTCATGACTAAGAAAGTGGAAACTGGATGGAGTGATCTGGTATTGTGTATCTTGGGAGGGGTGTTTATGGTTGTGTTTATAGCTTTTGCAGCTCACCATTTGTTCTCTTTTTGCATGTAACAGGTGAGCCACTATGGAGTTGTACAACAAAGACACATTTTCTGATGATATCCTGCCTGTTGTCATTGTTGGTAAGAGTTGTCATAATATATATTTGTTGTCCATGAGCACTCGCAATTGTTAATGCACATTTACATGCATAATGCATGCAAAACCATTCTATTTTTGTTCTGTCGTTTCTCTCTCGTTGTCATCTTTGTTCTAGACAAGGGGTTCTCAAAGTCTACGTTCAAAGGTCCAAATCTGAATTTTCATCAGTGTCAAAGGTCCGGCCTGGAACAATTGGTTATTACAAAACTTGTTTTTAATAAACATACACAACATGCATAACAAATAAACACTCATTTTTTTTAAAATAAAGTGCCCTTTGCATTCAAAATACATTAGTAATAATACATGGCTCAAAACTTAAGCACCTTCTCAAAACAGGTCTGAAGCATGCTTTTTGTTTGTTTGTTGAAGCACACCAGTGTTTCCCACAGACTTGCAAATGCAAATTAATTCTCTGCCAGCAGGAGGTGCTTTGGGAGCTGGAGATATAGCGGTTTCCCCGGTAACGGCTGTAATCAAATAAGCACTGCTCACAAACGCTACTTTATCAGGCATTACAGGAAAGACGAAATGAAAATGACATAGAAGCTTTTCTGAAGGCGGACGGTTCTTTTCAAAGATACATTCATATAAAAACGCCCGCACTGCATTTTAATTTTGAAACGTGCAGTGCCCATGTTTCAAAGAAGTAGGCCTATAAGCCTCTTGGAAAATCTAGCTATTTGTGCCGTGTCAGTTTTGATATAGTGACGGGCCGCCACAAATAACTCAATGTATGGGAAACACTTGGACACTGCTATAAGTCAAATTGCCGGCATAATCTAAGTAATAATAATAATAATAAAAACTCATATTAGCGGTGTTTCCCAAGTTTCGCCCGATTAGATTATGTAAAACGCTCACCGGATGTCATGACAACAATGTCACGCAGGAAAGTTATTGGTGCCGGTCAGTTTTGATATAGTGACGGGCCGCCACAAATAACTCAATGTATGGGAAACACTTGGACACTGCTATAAGTCAAATTGCCGGCATAATCTAAGTAATAATAATAATAATAAAAACTCATATTAGCGGTGTTTCCCAAGTTTCGCCCGATTAGATTATGTAAAACGCTCACCGGATGTCATGACAACAATGTCACGCAGGAAAACTAAATATCTCGCCTTCGCTTTAATTTCAGACCATCTCCAAAAAGACATAAAAAAAAACTAAACGCATGATTTACAAGTTTAACAGTTTATCAAAGTAGGAAATTAGTGCTCTTGAAATACGAAATGGCGGCGAGTCCGGACTTTGAGAAGCACTGTTCTTGACTGTACTTCTCTGAGCAATTTGAAATGCATTGCAGCCAAGGTCCAGAATTAACTAATGACCAAGCTCAAATGGAATCTGTACGTGCAGAACTCTACAGAAAGCTCAGCAGCCTTGCACAGAATTGGAACGCATGTTATTCAAAAATGTTCTGCACATCCAGAATCCCTTGCATTTTTGTTTATTCAATATTTTGGCTACTTTGAAAATCCTTTCACCTCAGTTACATTTACCATGTTTAGATGTGAGATTATATCATCTTAAAAACAGTGAGAACTCTTGTTCTGTTGCAGTTCCTGATCTATAGAGCATTTCCAGTATTCACATGCATGGCTGTATTTCAGGTAATGGACCATCAGGGATTTGTCTCTCTTATTTGCTGTCGGGATACACGCCTTACCTTTCCCCCGATGGTTTCCATCCCAACCCAATTTTGCATAACAAGCTGACAGAGAATCCTCATCTGTCTTTGTTTGACCAGGTAATGCACACACATAATCCCCCTATATACATTTACCACACCTCTTTACATAACAAGTGGTGATTAATTGTATCGTTTTTCACCAAAAGCCTCTAAAGGCTACTACAAGGATTAGTGAATGTTGTCAATGATTCATGTTCAAATACAGAAAAAAAAACGGTTTTGTCTTATTATGTGCATGTAGAATCTAGAGTACCTGTGTGAGGGTGTAGAGGGCCGTTCATCAAACCCTGTGGCTGTGCTCTTCGACGCCCTCCTTCTTCCAGATGGTGACTTTGGGGTGGATTGCGCCTCCCCGCTGATATGGAGACATGAGCCGGAAAGGGCCACACCTCACCTTGTGCTGGGGAAGGGACCACCTGGAGGGGCCTGGCATGTAAGTAACCACACCTAACATATTTCTGGCTTCTGATCTAATGCCTCAGCAGTCATATTGTTCTCTTTTTTTTTTTTTGTGAAGCTGTACTATTATTTTAAATGGGTGAGTGTCACAAATCCATGTGCGAGTCATGTTTCACTCCAAAATCTAAAGAAAAATGACATTTTCTTCAGATTTGAGACGTTTTCCAAAGTTGTATTCCTATTACTGTCATGTGATAAAGAGCAATGAGTAAAACACAGAAGTAAAATGTTCATATATATTACAGTGATGAGAAATAGGGTGAAATATGACTTGAAATGTGGGGAAAAAACACTTTGAAGGTACTGATGGGAAAGAACTCATGTGATCCATAGTTGCATGCCTGAAAACAACTGCAACAGTGTTTTCTATTGAGGTTTTGTACCAGTTTAATCAGATGTTATTCTTGTGCTCTGCCTGCTTCATTCCAAGATGTCAAGTTGTTGTTTATTATGCTTGATGCCTGCAGGCGATGGAGGGCTCAATGCTGACACTCAGCTTGGCTAACTGGATGGAACTTCCTGGTTTGAAGCTGAAGGAGTGGATGAGAGATAAACGAAGGTATAAAGAAATGAAACCCAAACATTAAAATTAGTGCAGAGAATAAAGGGCTCGTATTTCATACAACATTCTTAGTCAGATTCTTGGCATAAGTCTGATATGAAAATAAGATTCCCCCTTTGTGTTAGTCCTAGAACCAAACTGAAACTGTTAAGCAACTTACAAAAACTGCTCTGTGTACATTTTTCTGTTAAAATACTTTCTCTTTTTCTAACAATGTGAGAAGTATAAGCAATAATTATCTTAATTTCTCTTAAGATGGTGGATCAAAACCTTTCATCAAAGTTGTCTTAAAACCTAAAACCAAAATGCGTTCTTGTCTTAGGGCAACTTTGATGAACTTTTTCGATCCACTTCAAATGTTGACTACTGGTTTTGTAAAATAATAAGTCTCTCTTTTTTTTTCCAAATTGTCTTTTTTCCAGTATCTAACATACTGGTTTGTGTGTGCAGAAATTTACGTAATGACCGGGCCACACCAGCTGAGATTGCATCGTACTACCAGCACTATGTGACTAAAATGGGTCTGGAGAAGAGCTTTGCTTGCGGCACCACCGTAACCTCAGTGTCTCGGGTTTCCCTTGAATCTGGCTGCTCCGTTTGGAAGATCCAAGGCCTCCAGAGAAGAGCAAGCAGTGGTGAAGAAACTGAAGTCCCTTTCTCTGTCTATGCCGAGAACGTGGTGCTTGCCACAGGAACCCACGACATCCCTGCCCGTCTTGGCGTGGAAGGTGAAAACCTTCCCTTTGTGTGCCACAGCTTCTGGGAGCTGGAGGCCGCCATTTCGTCAGGCCGCTTGGACCGCGCTTCAGAGCCGGTTCTTGTGGTTGGTGCTGGGTTGACGGCGGCGGATGCCGTTCTGGCAGCTCACCACTTGAACACTCCTGTATATCACACCTTTAGACGACCTGTGAGTGATCCGGCGCTCATCTTCAACCAGCTGCCCAAGCTCCTCTACCCTGAGTACCACAAAGTGCATCAAATGATGAGCCAGCAGCAGTACAAAGTGGGTGAGACGGTGGTCAATCTGTCCAACCAGCCTCTTTCTTCACCTGCTGATGGCACCAGCCCGTATACCTGTTATCCTGGTTACCTAAGTTTCCCAAAGCACCATGTAGCTGCCTTCAGACGTGATGGCAAGTGTGTGCTTGAGGATGAGGGAGGGATACAGACAGTGCTGCAAGTCTCAATGGCGCTCATTTTGATTGGTGCCCATCCCAACCTGTTATTCCTCCCAGAACATGGTGGTCCGCTGGCGTTG